AAAGTCTAAGGTGGAACATTAGAAAGTCTAAGGCAGGAGACATATCCATTTTTATTTGCTTTAGATAATTTCGGGGACGAAATTTTTAAAAGGAGGGGAGAATTGTAACACCCCGAATTTTTTTACTAATACTACGAATAATTATTATTTATTTTTGTATTTATAAAAATTATTTCCTTATAATTATTTTGATTAATTAAATGTGTTTGATTGAATTTTTAAAGGTTTTTAATAATAATCATTTATGAAAATTATTTTGTATAATATTATTAATTATGATATTTTGTTATAATTATTATTTAAAGAAAATCATGTTTTAAATTGTATTGATGTTTTATTTTGATATATATATATATATATATATATATATATATATATATATATATTATTTATTTTTTATTCATACAGTACATCATGCGAATCTTCTCCAAATAATAACATAGGTTGTGATCAGTTGTGAGACGAGTTCTATTGGCACTTAATCTGACGATTTCTGCCAGGTATTTGGCACATGAATTAGTATATTGGATCTAAAGCAATAATAATAATCAACAAATAAAAATGAAGAGAATTAATGGATCGGAATGGAAGTCTTTTAAGGAATATTTAATTTAAGGAAATGAGACGAAATAAAATAAGTTTTTTTTTAATATATATATATATATAAGCTTAGTGCATTTTTAAGAATTTTTTTATTTATTAATAGAGAAATTTTCAAAATCAGTTCTTGTACTTATACGAATCAGGTCGGATTCCTAACTCGGATAAGTCTTCCTTGTTGGATTCAGCCGAGGTCGTATGATGATATCAGTACGGTGGGTTGAGTTCTTTCTCCTTGGTGTCCTTGGTTGAGTGTCTCGGATGTACCTGCAAAAAGGACTCCGACAATCAAGTCAGTTGGTGTTTCTGGTTTCACGTATTGGTTATATCATTACCTGTGGTGGTTGTCCGAATAACCGTGTAACTGCTATATGGTTATTTTCTGAGGTGGTTGAATTATCCTTAACGTTGTCAACCTGCCAAGGTGTCTTAATGATATCTCCTGTGACATGTCAACATTTCATAACTTTATTTCAGCTTGTCTAAGAGGTCACCTCGGTCAAGTTAATTCGTGGACTCGGCTAAGCTCGGCTCAAGTCAGGTTGGTACAGTTCTAATTTGTATTCAAACAACTTCTAAATTATTATTATAATTATTTTAAATATGAGAGAGAGCAAATGATACCAAGAAAAATAACATCCTGCAAACAAAGTTGGATACTAGGGGAAAAATTGAGAATATTACTTTAAGTGTGATTTCTTTATCATTATATATTATCCACGTTGTTTTGATCAATTTTATCATAAATATTTGTAAGAAAAGTAAATAAAAAGTGAAATGTTTTTTTATAAGTTAAAATTAATTTATACAAAAATTAATTTATAAAAAAAAATTATATTATTTTTTAAAAAAATGTTAATTTTAATTTTTGCATAAAATAATTTGAACTTATTAAAAAAATCATTTTCTACTTCTCTGTGAGTGCATGCATTGATAACTTCATTTGACCCATTTTCAAAAAATGAAATAAAATTGACACATTAAGTTTAGAGAAATTTTGGCTATTGATAAGCGGTTGATCATTTTTGAAAATTGAAATGCTAAATGTTCAACTATTTTGAATGAGGTAAAGTGGAAGAATGAGAGAGGTAAAAGAAAAATAATGAAGAGAAAAGTGATAGATACAATAACCAATAAGTGATAAATAGATTTAAAAAAAAATAGAAAAAATTTAGATAAAAATGAAAAAAAGAAAATGAATTTATGTCTATAATAAACTCGTGATTTTTATCTTTATTAATATAAATACACAACCAAAGCACAAATCAAAATGCATGTACTATATTTGGTCGTATTTTAATTTGTCAGCCAAATGCTACCTAAGCATTAGCATGACCCTAATAAGAAGCCATGTCAAATAGAATTTCTTGTCCACTGGATGACATGGCAAAGTAAGATGCTTGTCTTTTTACAATTATAACTATAATCGGAAATGGATAAGGTAATAAAGTCTTTTTATACAAACTAATACAACTACTAAGACACCATTTAACAGGCATCGTTAAAGAAGAATCAAGCGAAGACATAACATAGCCTACTTATCAAATTAGACAAGACGTAAAATATAAAGTTGGATCTAATTGGAAGCTACAAATAAAGTCTAATCAAGTGGCCGAATAGTCCCACAGCTCGACTCCATTGTTGACATCGTTGTAAGCCATGTCCAAGTTTCCAATACCTGAATTCTGTCCACCAACTGTGACACCATTGTATGAACCATCATTTCCATGAACGGTGATGCTTGGAGAAACGTGAGCCATGCGCCGCAGATTAGTTGTGTTCAGTTGCTGGGGTGTGCTCAATTGACACTGTGTCTGAAGAAGTTGAGTGTTTAAGGTGGTAAAAGAGCTCCGAGTCACCATATCCTCAGCTAACTTCACCTATGAGTGGATAAAATTTGTTCAGTCACCAACGTTTTAATCAACCTAGACCCATTAGCTTATCTTAATCCTTTATCTAAACAAAGTGTTTCTTAATTATTCGGAGCACTAGTGACAGTTGAAATTCTATTGAGATATTTTCCATAAACCTAAATTAATTAAAACTATACGAGCTTCCTTTATTATTCTTCTGTTACCGCTAGTCCATTTTCAAATCTAAATAAAACAAATTTAAATTTCTCCAACATGGCAACCTGCATGAATGTAAAATGTTGCCAGAATAGTATTGCTAATAGAATCTAATACCTTGGCTCTCAAAGCTTCTACATCTGATTTGAGCACCCGGTTATTCGTATCAGCCTCACGAAATTGTTGACTAGCATCAGTGAACTGCTTGTATAGGGTTGCATTTTCCACTTTCAGTTTTTCAACCTGAAAAAGCAAAATTCAAATAAAAACAAAATTTCTTGTGCATCTTATCAAACATTGAAATTGATACTTAAATTCAATTCAGAGAGCTAGAAACGTTCCATTATCTTGATCAACAACTATTCTGATGCATCTAAGAATTCTAATATCACTATTTTATACACTTATCATATACACTCATTGTGCTCCCAACAACCAGTTACCTGCAACTCAAGGTCAGCCAAATGCGCTTGTTTTCTTCTTCTTGACCTTCTGGCAGACTCGCGGTTAGAATCCATCCTAAAACCATAATGTAATTTAAAATCTCAGGGAGGTTGATAATCATCTAAACCCTGTTTCGGTAATTTTTTTCGTAAGTGAAATAAAATAAAAAGGACAAATGAATTGTACTTCATTTATAAGATAAAATCAACTTAATTATACTCTTCAAATATCAGAGAAGCTAGATGAAAGAACTTGTATAAAAGTTAAGTGCGATTTTAGGTGATGAAAAAAGTTGGATTCATTTTTTTATTTTTTTTCATAACTAATTACATATAAGTTTATCCAATCAAAGGGTAAGTTTTTATGATATTTGCAGTGCTTTACTTAGACATACCTTTTAAGGCGCTTCACTTCAAGTGGATTTGTGCTCTGTTCACAAATACCTGCTTCATCATCCTCGTCAGACGGCTCAGAGGGACCACTTGTTGCTCCTTTAGTATGATTCTCTCTGCCCTCTGGTTTATTAGCTGATACGGGGCTGCCAACTGGCCAATTTGCAATTCAATCCATTAAATTGCATAGGAAAACTATATTTTTGTGAGCTATATACTTATTTGCTACAATGCAAACAAAATGTGCTATGATGAATGGCACTCGACATTGAAGAAATAATGGCTATATATAATATACGTAGTGGCCATACCGTTAGCAGTGCCACAAATCGATGACTGAGTATCAATGGTAGCTGTGATGGTGGAATGCTTGGGAGTGAGGTTTTGGGAACAAAGAGGGTCTGCTAGTTCACAAGTTGAAAATGAAGTCATCGCATCCTGCAATTACGAACCACTGGTTAAGCTGGATGGAATTTTGTACATCATTTTAGTCACCATAATCAACTTTTTTCCTTTTATTTTTTCACTTTGTCTGGCCAGACTTTTTTTTCCCCCTTTTCTTCACATGCAAAACAGAAATTGGGGCAAATGTACAAAAGATAAGCTATTCAGGGAAGCAACAACCCATCATTCCAACAACCCACAAACTTAAAAACGGGTCCACTTAGATAGAGACAATAATATGAAAGCTTTATAAATACATTCTCATTTTTATTTTTTACAGTTCTATAAAAAAGTCTTTATAATAAGCACGATAACAGTAATTAAAGATGCAATGCAACCATTATTTTTTTTTCTAACCTTCAAATATAATCTAAACCAAATTAAAAGCATATTTTGTCATCGAAATAAGGATAATTTTTCTAATGGAATCGAGTTATCATGTTAACTTTTCTAACTTACTAGTTACTACTTAATTTGGTTGAGTTTAACTCAAACAAACCTGGAAAAACAATCGAGTTGAATTAGGTCGATGAGGTTATTGTGTCAACCCAATTCCTTGCCCCCTTTTTAAATTAATTTTGATACATTGTTACTATAAATTTTTTTTATGTAGTAATATATTTTTGCATTTGTAACTTATTTAACGATTATGATTATGATTATGTTTACATTTTAGACTCATCAAATAATTTAATAACGTTTTAATAGCTATAAGAGTAAAACTTTTTTTTTATACTTAAATACGTATTATTATTATTTTTATATAACGTGAAAGTAAAAACACTTGAGATTTTATGTATAAAAAATAAAGGAAAGAAAATAAACTGGGTCTACGGACAGTTGACACAAGTCATTTATTAGGTATACCGACTCTTTTTCCTTCCCTTCCACCAACCCAAGATAGAGTGGTTGATTCATATTAATATTATTGCTAATGCCTCATGATGTTGTTCGTGTAGGAGTATTTGTTTCTCACGAATTTAGTGATGATGAAATATTTAGGACTCATTCGCAAATATAGCCCAATAGTAACTAGTCTCAACCTGTCAACCATTAGAATAATTTGATAGCATCGTATCAATATTACATACAACGAAAATATGTTCAATAAACTTTGCATAAATTAATTTTAAAATCATGAAAACTACTCGTATTTGGATTATTCCATAATATTAATAACAATAGTTTCGTATTGGTTTTCGCTTCTTCATTTTGTAGAAAGCTTTTCCACGCAGTTTTTCCCCTCTTTAATCTGTGGGCCGAGTGAAGTAAAACTACTTATATATATATATATATATAGAATAATATTATTTTTACAACAAGTTGTATATACTAATTAATTTTATGTATAAAACAATAGTAGTATTACTGAAAATAATAAGGAGCAAAGTTTTATTGATCCAGTATTATAAATTTGTAAAAGTAATCATAGATTAGATCAATTATTAACATAGTTGAAAGTTACATAGAGGTATAACTCTAGGTTACAACATACCACTTCCTTTCTCGAACCCAAAAACATACCACTTCCTTTCTTCTTGTGACTTGTTGAAGGAATTAATAATAATAATAATAATAATAATAATAATAATAATAATAATAATAATAAAATGATTAAAAACTATGGGGTATGGGCTTAGGTTGATGGAACCCACTCGAAAGTCGAAAAAAAAGAAAAAAAGAAAAAAAGCGCAATATGGCAATATCCCAAAGTTCCCCGTTCACACGAGTTCTCAACAGAAAGAACCCAATAATGAAGCGGTCCACGTCACAAGTGCCACCTTTCTATTCGGTTTTTTCACCTTCACAATCTAACGTTCCAGATCTTCTTAATCCACCTTCCTCAACACACTATAAAACCTAATTCCGAAGCAAAATTATGATCGCTCCAACACCAGAAACTCGACGCTATTAATTCATTCAATATTAATTTATGAATTTCATTAAAATTAATCCTGAAATAGGAAGCGTTGAGTTCGGCACGTGCAGGATGACGTGGCGAGAGAGTGTTAGAGAAAGAGAAGACTAACCGGTAAGAGGCTTTGGAAGGCGGAGAAGACGTCGGTTCCGGCGAGGCTGAGAAAGCGAAGGTCGTAATCGAGAGAGGGGAAGTCGTAATCCAGATCGGAGTCGGCGGTGGCCATGTGGCCGGAGAGAATCGACGGAGTGAGAGATTGAGAGGAGAGAGAAAATAGGGAGGGAAAAGGGAGAGAGAGTAGCAGCTCCACGGCTATAAATAGGACAACACAATGCGCATCAACGTGCGCTCGCTCGCTTACCACATTTTTCAAAAAATCAAAAAAGCTTAAATATATTAGATAAATTTTATTTTTGTCCACAATTTAAATTTGCTATTTTTAATCTTCTAATTTTTTAAAAATTTATTTTAATTTTTTAAGTCATTAATAATATATTTTAAAAAAATTAATTAAAAAAATTATTTAATGTAAGACTAAACATTAATTAAGTTTAATGTGATATTTTTATTAATAAAAATATTAATAGGTAGATTTTATATAATAATGTTTGATAAATTTTTTAACAAAATTTAAATATAAAAATTAAAATAAAAATTTTAAATTACAAGAATTAAAAATATACTTACCCTAAAAAAATATTAAGCTAATAAAAAAATATAAAAAATAAAAAAATGGGCGGCACTTGACACTAAAACGTACCAGAAAGTTTTCTTCCTTGTTGAAATCACGAAAGTGACATAATCCGTCACGTGGAATTACACTTCCAATCTCTACCGTTTATCTAAACCACGGGGCACTAATAAACTGACACGTGGCATAGTCAAAATTACACCTCGCTACATTTCTCCTTTCGTGTGTGTAAAGTATTTCGGTTTTGGTTTGGGTCATTGTTAACATTATTATGGTTTTCTCTTGCAATATGATAATATTAATAAGTAATATTAGAAAAATTCCAAATAGATTATAAAAAAAAAAAGGGAATAAAGGGGGTAGGATTATAGGAATAGGATTCACCCGTCCTATATTGAAAATTCTAATTGAACTATGTAGATGACGTTTGTATAGAATAATAGCATGCTCTTGATCGATGTTGTTGGCTAGTGAATCATCACTCCTCTCTCTGTTTTATATTAGTATATAATGTAGTTTGTTTTGAAATGTTTGTCGTTTTAAAGAATTATAAAACATCAATTATTTTTTTAATTGTGTGTATATTTATTGATGTTCAATTTAAATTCTTAAATAAGTTTCGAATTACATTAATTCTTCTAACAGGAAAGTATTTTTTTATAATAATAGTAATAGACAAAGAAAGTAGTATAATTAATTGTGTTTTGTTGAGCAATAATGACAAATTTGTTAGTATTCGTAAATTCATGGATCTCTTGTTGAGGCCGGTTTGACTTTGATTGGATGTGACGACGGAATTTCATTCTCTCAAAATGTTGGAAGGACAAGTTGAAGCTACAAGTTGCTAAAATATATTACGCTCCCCTCTTTTTTCATTTTTTTTTTCTTTCTAGAATCACATACTTTTTTATTTAAAGGAGATGATTTAATTTTATTTAACTTAAATAATTTATAATATGATAGGAATATCTTCTTAATATTTTTATTTAACACAAGAATCAAATTCAAAAATTTTATATTAAATATATGAACCCTAAACTTAAAAAGAAATAAAAAAAATGAGAGAGCAAAAAATTATAAAATTATTGAAATAATAGTTCAACGTTCTAATTTTAAATATCTGAAATATTATTTAGATACATAAATATATTTAAATAGTAATGAAATTAGAGTAATATATATAAGGTACTTAGATTTAAATTTTAATATTTTATTATGATTCTAATCGATAAAAAAATATAGAAATATATTATCTTTTTATTAGAGTATTATTTAGAATTAAAATATTTTATTTATTTTAATGATTTGTCTTCTTTTTTAAGAATTAGAATGCAAGATCGTTAATAAATGATATTGAGATGAAAAGAATCACTCAAATCTTTTAAGTAGGGTTGTCATCACGAATAAGAAGATAAAATGACCATATGAGATGTTGTCATAAATGTAAATATGAGAAATTCAACTATGTTAAACAAATTAAATAATAAATATTCACTAAGATGTTGCGGCACATATATACATGAGAGGGTAAATCAAGTTAAATAAATTTATACTATATTTTTCTATTTTTTATGATATTTTTTGTGTGTTTCTTATCACCGACATTATGTGAAATAGTAGAAGGAAGATCTTTTTTCAACAAAAATAAACAGCACAAAATTATATTGATGGAAGAAAAATATTTAAATAATATGATATGTTATTTATTAGTTGGCTTATATAGTATAAAGTTTATCATATGTGTGTTATTAATCATAGTGTATAGTATTTGAATATGAAATTTCCATATTTGAAAAATTAAAATTTACATTGAAACAGATAAAATATTGGAATTTACTTTGATTATATGACTTCTCTATTATTATAGGTTATGTTTGGCCCAGACAATTTTAGGCTTAATTAAAAGTTATCTTAAAGTTTATGCAAAAAACAAGAGCTTAAATAAGAATCAGGCCAAAATACTCTTAGTAATTAGTATCATGTTAAAATATGAGTAGAATATTAAATGACAAGAAATTTAATGTTCCAAAATTTTAACTATTAAATATAATATTCAAAGAAATTAATATTAAACGACATTACTACATTTAATATGTAGTAGTTAAATTCAATAGACATTATTAGTGTTGTTTACATGATAAAGTTATAACCAAATAACAATGTCAATACGAAAACTTATATATTTTTAGAACAAAGATGAAATTTGAATCTAGAAAAGAGTAGTTGTAGTAGGGTACGTACGAAGATACAAAAGCACGCGCATCATAATTTTTGGTTCTTTGTTTTCTTCTACGAACATAAAGCATGTCTATTCATAAAGCAATAATTAATGAAGTGTTGGATTGGATGTCATCTGTCACGGAACAAGAACATTAAACAATATTTACCACAGTTGGCAATCACAATCTCAATCATACAAAAGTTCACCTTCTCCACAACCAAAGTACAGATTAAATCAAAGAGGTAAACTCAAATATGACTACAAATTGCACTTTTGATATGCATCTTTTTAAAAATACAATAAAAGAAGAGACAGAAAAAATAAAAACAAAATGATTGATGTGATAAAAATATAAATACAATGTTATAAAACATATTATATAAATCATAGAAATTAACATATGTGCTAATAATGCAAAAAAAAAAAAAATGATATAGCGTTACTTATTAGTTTCTTAATGACTAATGCTTTAAAGACAATAAAAGAGATAAAAATGTGGTAAAAGTGATTGTGGCAATTAGCCAATAAACTGTGGTCCAAAATGAAGAAAAGGCAGTGAAGCTTTACTTTTGGAAAAGCACTAAAGCCATTTCTGTGCCTTGACGTGACTTCTGCAATAAGCAGGTAGCAAGGAAATGAGGAATGGCAAATAAAAAGTAAAAAAAGTGAGGAGAAGAGTTTTTAGCAATTGAAAGTGGGTTTCTTAAGGAGGAAGTTGTTTTTAAAGTAATGGACTTTGATTGGGACAAGCACCGACCCAAAGCAAAAAGTCAGTAATTAACAGTCACATATGCATACATACATATCTGATTTTTTTTCCTTCTATAACGTTTATTTATTAGATGCAATCGGTAGATTATTATATACTATAAAACTTTCTTTTCTATGTATTTAATATAATTACTGATATATTCAAAAATTAAATTCAAAATTAACAATTAAATTAAAATAATTTTACACTCATTAATCACGTATATATATAATATGTTTGTGAAGACAAGTGTTCTCGCTATTATTAACGTAAATCTTTTCTTTACTTATATATATATATATATATATATATATATATATATATATATATATATATATCATGTAATGTCAGAAAAGTAGGTTATTGGTGTAAAAAAAAAAATAATAAAGTTATTAGCATAAACAATTCACATTCACATTCATTATAAGGAGAAATGTCTCCACTAATATTATATGGTAGATGCACCCATTTACGAGAAAATTAACTTAAATTTATTTTATTTAATAACTCACATTTTATATTATATTTTAATGATTTAATAATTAAATTAAAAAATTTTAATGTATAAATAAAATTGTAAATTTTTTAAAATTAAAAGTTATTTGATACTTTATTTCATTAATTTAAATTAATAAATAACTTTAAAAGTATTTTATACGTTAATTTGAATTAAGAAAATGAAATATTAAATAATTTTCAAAATTTTAAAAATTTACGGGCTTGATTTATGCATTAAGAACTTTAAATGCAACAATTTTATCTTTGAAATTTTATGTAACATGAATTATTGAACATAATAAGCTTATTTAGATTTACTCATAGAATAGATGGATCTCTCTCTATATATATATGATAATCTGATTTGGTATACATATTTTTTAAACAATTTTATCTTTAAATTTTTAACTAATAAAAAATAATATTAAAAAATATAAGATCATGAGATTTGAAGACTAATCACAATATCAATTCATTTAACAAACATTAATAATTCTTAAACATTTTTATTGAATATTTCGACCCACTAATTTATAATAATGTTCTTACACTTGTCATGTTAAAAATTAAGTGTCCCACTCTTTTTTGTATTTTTACTTTATAAAAAATAGTTAAATTTAATATATTAATTTTTTGAAGTAGTTTTTTATAATATATAAAATATCTCTCAATCTCATAATATGTGTTATGTTAAAAAAAATCCCCAAAATAAGTATCATATATTAACTTTTTCAATGTAATATTAATTACTTTTTTTTATTTATACCTTTTACGTAGATATTATATTACATTATTTATAATAAAAATATTAATTACAGTTTTTTGATTCATAATCTGTTTAAAATAACCTAAAACGATACTTATTGTGGATCATATAGAGTATTGGTTATAGTTGTCAATAAAAAGATTATTATGAAGTGATGATTGATTGTCCAAACTCATATTATACTATTTTTATAAATAAAAAAAAGTCAAAATTTTGATATTAGATATAAATAATTAAATAAATAAATAATTAGTTATATATAAAGAGATATTTTTGAAAACGAGTTAAAAATAAGAAAAACTATTGAATATTTTTAAAGTACGAAATCTCATAAAATAATTTAATGTATATTTATATGTTAAAAGACATAA